TCCATGTAAGCTTCACCCCACCTGCATTTTGCAAATAGTCCATTGATGATTTCCATTCTTTAAGGGAGTAATTGTTTGAGTTGAAACAAAAAAGCAAGTCAATTTGTCATTTTCTGCCATTTCCATCAGTTTTAAGGTAGTAATTGTTTGAGTTTTCTTTTAATAAGCAAGTCAATTTGTCTTTTTCTGTTTTTTGTCATTATTTTAAAAGCAATAAAACAAATAAATAAATAGATGCTTTGGAATCTAGTTCCATTGACTCTGCACTTAATGTGCAGACAGAGTTGGCATGATTGGCATACAGATTGGAGAGCAAGCCAAGGAAGGTAGTTCCATTCTATCTTCAGCACAATAAGCTATAGGTGGTAAGGAAGCAAGAACAGGAGAGAAAGCAAGAGTACGTCTCAGCTCTTTTGATATCAAAGTATATGGCAGAGGCACCTACTTCCTAAGACCACCAGCGCAATGGTTGAGGTGTCAGACTGGGTCCAAGTCCCCAGGTGATCACTGACTCAACAAAAGAATTGCAGTGCAGAGAAAATGAAGGGAGGCTGCAGCATGTGTGGCCCTGGGCTGCCAGAGGAGAAGAGCTGCTTTTGGCACCAAGGGACTGCCTTGATGTTTGGCCCTGTTTCAATGGAATGAGTGCTGTGGAGTTGTAAGGAGAAGGTGTAAGGAGAATTGTATTGGTGTATTGGTAGCCCTTTGCTCTCAGTCTCCTAATGACCTCTTGTAAGGAGAAGGTGGTCAAGAGGGATTGGTCATAATCCCTCTTCACTAATCAGGTGCCATTCTGGTATAATTCAATTAGTGAATCATGTCACATTCTAACACCATAAGTCTAAGCAATGCAAGACATGAGTTTTCCAACGCACACCTATCATTTTATGTAGGTATGATTGATTTTATTCCATTTTGGAGCCTTAGAAATGCTGGATTGTGTTCTGTGATAAAAGCACAATCTTCGATTTTAGAATTAAGATCATGACTTGGAATTTTTCAGCATCTGGAGCAAGTAAAATCAACTTTCCATGTTGTAAATCATGTAGTTTATGCTACGTTCTAAACATAAACACACGGTGAGACAAAATAGAAGCATCTTTTGCCAGTATTTTCAGAACAAGCACAGAGCCAAGGAAAAGGGTATTCTTCGTGGTTCCAGGCTAAAGACTTCCAGACAGATTCAGCAAGTTGAGCAACTTAAAACATCAAGACAGTACGAATGCTGAAAAATAAAACACAGGCTTCACTTTCCACATTCTTTTGTAAAGAAAAAATGATCAGAACAGCAAATACTTTTAAATTCATGCCTGTGACTGATTTCCTATTTTAAAATCCTGCTGACAGATATTACTGCTAACTTTGGAACTATGGGAAAGGTAGGCTGTGCAGTTGGGAAACGTGACTGTTGGACTTCTTTGTGGTAATGTTGTCAGGACAACAGCATTTACCATCCATAAGTATTCAGTGCTGTGGAAGACTCACCTAGTCAGGTAGCTGTGGGCCACATAGGAATGGCACCCAGTGTGAGTATAAGTAGATTCACTCATGAGGCAGCTTACAAAACAATGGAGAAATCTGGGTGTTCAACAACAAAGTAACATGCATATCTGAGGAGTCTCCCTTTTGCTTCTCCTGCACTTTACCTCCCCACAGTCCTTTGCGTCAACCACTTACCAACTGCTTCAACAACCTGGCTTCACTATTAGAAGGAAGCCAGAAACAGAGTGCCCAGCATCGAACAAAAAATTTGCAAAATAATTTCAGAGCCTTATCTCATTTGGCAGCCACATGCTCCAGCATGTACTGAAGTGAAACTGCACTGGTCAGCTTCATGGATGATCTGCACTTGGAGAGGGACAAATGGGATAGGAATGTTGTCTTTCTTAGTTCTCTTGGCAGTTTTTCCTCCCATTGACCGCGGTATCTTTCTGGACAGCTTTGCAGGCTTGGGAATTAGGGGCCTTGCTTTGCAGTGGTTCCATTCCTACCTGGCAGGATGGTCCTAGATGGTGTTGCTTGGGGACTAGTGCTCCACAAAGGAGGAACAGACATATGGAGTTCCTCTAGGCTCCATTTGGTCTCCAGTGCTTTTTAAATATATACAGAAACTGCTGGGAGAGGTCATTAGGAGACTGAGAGCAAAGGGCTACCAATACACCAACAACCTTGAAATCCAGTCTTCCAGGTAACACTATCAGGTAATGGGGCAACTCCCTTGAAGGTCTGCCTAAGGATAGTAATGGGCTGAATGAAGGAAAACAAACTGAAACTGAATCTACATAAGACAAAAATATTCATTGTGAAAGGTCATCATTCTAAGTTTTGGGTGAAGCTGTCTGTTCTTGATGAAGTCACACTCTCCCAAAAAGAGTGGGTGTACGGCTTGGGAGTGACTCTTGATTAGGTCAGTATCTACTTATAACTTCCAGGCTTGACTTATGCTTTACATAAGGCTGTTTGTGTGTGTGACTTAAAAGCTTTAATTGGGACAAACTGCTCAAGCCAAGTTGATCTCTGGTTTATCTCAAACAGCCCACATCATGTTAATTCTAAAATCTGGTTGCCAATTTGCATCCAGAAGCAGTAGAAGTTATTGCTTGTTGTTTTTAAACCCCCAAATGGCTCAGACCTGGAATACCTAAGATAATGTCATCTCCTCCTCCAAGACTCTCACTGCCTACTTGTATCAGCTGAACGCAGCTGGTTCCTGTGGCTGCCAGTTGTGGCTGCTGTTTCCCAGGAGGGAGGGGAGGGGTTTGTCTATGTAGAACTCACTTCCCAATGGGATATGGGGACTGCCTTCGCAAGGCTTTAAAAACACACCCTTTCAATTCACCTTTAACCTTATTTAGAGGTGCAATGTAAACATTTTAACGTCTTAAATAGCAATTTAATAATTAATTTTATTGGGGAGTTTTTGTTTTAACATGCTTGATTTTTGCACAATATCCAGAAACTTTGGTAGTGGGTGATATAGAAATCAACCAACCAACCAACCAATCAAATAAATAAGAAAAAATTAAGTATGACAGTTAAGAATCTGGGAATTTCAAACAATATTGAGGGTATCAAATTAGGAAGGCTGACCTAGATTAAAAAAAAGATCTGTTGAAGAAGTCTAAGTGTTTTGGCTCACATATAATGTGGGCAATAAATCATGGCTACACATCACACTGAACCATGATTTGTTTGCTGAAATCTCAAAATATGTGATGATAGCCACCAACTGGAGAGCTTTAAAATGGGTTAATCGGATTTAGGAATGAGAAGCCTATCAATTAGTTAGTCATGAACAGCCTTTCCTAACCAGATGTGTGGACTTCAATTTCCAGAATTGAACCGCACATTAATAGGTAAGGAAAGATTGCTATAAATTATCTTCATATCAGAGGGAGTATACATCTCCTTGGTATTGTGGAAAATGGGCAGGAACAGCGGTATCACATCTGTATCCTGAACTGAGTGCAGGACTTTTAGCTAGACTTTTAGCTAGCACAGCTGCTCTGGTGAGGTGAAAATGTAAGAAAACTGCAGGAAATTCTTCAGTCTCTTGGCAATTCCCTTTGATCTTTAAGGAGCTACAACATCTAATCATTAATACCTGCTCTGTGTACAGATGAAACAATTCTGAGCTGAAGCTACTTCTTTTAAAAGTAGGTAATGATAGGGCAAAAATCTCACCTCTTCCCAGCATGAAGCAAGTCAAATCCTTTTCCAATATCACTGAATGGTAAAATGTGGGTGATCAGAATATCTGGTTTAAATTTGCCTTCCATGTAACTGGAGACCAATTGAGGAATTGAATCTTTCATCTTCCAGCCTAGAAAAAACAAAACAACAATGTAACCTACTAGATGTTGTTGGCTCTGCTTCCCATGAACATTTTTGCAAGTTGCCAAACTTTTTTGGCAACTTGCAAAAATGCTCATAACAACACTTACAACATTAATTTTTGTACAGCTTACGAAATACAGAGTAACCTGAAACTAGAAGCACATGAATTGCTAAACATTTACTTTTAACTGCTACTTAATTTTCTGGAAGAAAGATGGCAGCTTTTCTCCAACCTGGTATCCAGATGAAGTCCAACACATCCATCCATCCATCCATCCATCCATCCATCCATCCATCCATCCATCCATCTATCTAATTTATATGTCCGCCCTTCTCACAAAACATGACTCTGGGAGGTGTACAATAAGACAATTAAATAACAATATTAAAACAGAATGCCATTAAAAATATTAATATTATTATTAAAAAAAGGCTAGGTGAGAGCTTGGATATTATGAACAGTGGAGCCACCTCAGCAGGTCACCATTTCCTTGGCACCCCCAGGCCTGTTGAGCCAGCCAGGTTTTCCAGAAGGATGGCAAGGAAGAGACCAATTTCAGCTTGGGGGTAGGGGGTCCACAGCAGAAAAGGCCCATTTCCTGCCAGATGTAACTCCTTAATAGATGGGACCTGCAACATACCTCTTCTGCCAGATCTGATGAGATGGGCAGATGTAATCGGGAAGAGGCAGTCCCTCAAATAACCTGGCCCCATGCCATGAAGGGCTTAAAGTTCAAGACCAGCACCTTGAATTGGACCCAAAAGCAAACTGGCAGCCAATGCAGCTCATGGAGCAGAGGTGTGACATGTGCCATTCTAGGGGCACACATTACTGCTAACAGCGCTGTATTCTACACCAGTTGAAGCTTCTGGATACTCTTCAAGGGTGGCCCCATGTAGAGCACATTACAATAACCCACCTGGGAAGTGACAAGGCCATGAGTGACCCTAAGCAGAGCATTTGGAGGAGACCAGAATGGAGAAGGTTGATATACAACAATCATGAAGAGTTTTCAGAGTGCACAAACTCTCTCTGAAGATAAAATGGGATGGGATGGGAATTTGCTAGGATTGCAACAGAAGGAGAAAGTTTATACAAGAGCCAAACTGTCTAGCCACTAGGATCTGCAGGAGAATCCCTTTTGAAGATGATCTGGGTTTCAGAGGCCTGTTCTCTTGTATGGCTCCCAGGCTATAAAATGTACTTCCTTCTTTGCTGTTTAGAAAATCTATAAAGACAATTTCTTTTGCCAGAATTTTAATTATTAATTTATTTTAATCTCAATTTATACTTTTTAATATTGCTTTTTAATTTTAGTATTAATACGTTTTAGCTGCCTTGAATACTTGCCAAATTAGAAAGGTGGAGTATAAACCCAACTGATAAATAAATAACATATCTCCTCTCGACACATATTGCAACCCTGATAATTACTGTATCAGCCCTGTCTTGTAGAAGACGTTCCTGCATTTAAAAGAACATAAATTTACAAAATGCAAATATGAAAAACATAGAGTAGCAATCAATTATTTGAACATAAATGAATTCACAGTATTTGTAACGTACTATTGAAAGAAATAATTACTCATACTAACTTGACTTTGAGACAAAGTTTAATATTTTCAGACATCCATACTCTTTTGAACTATATGCCTATTATATGGTAATTGATGGCTGGACAATGGAAATGGATTCTCCATGCCTTTCTTCTTGTCCCTCGACATTGTCAAGATAAATTTATGGTCCCACTTATTCAGTGCATTGAAGAATGAATATAATTTGAGACTTATGAATGAGTTGCTTATAGAAGTAGATTATGTATTGGCAATTGCAGTGAAGAATGTTTATCCTTCATTGAAACCGTTGTATAAAATTTCATACATCTATTGACATATGGGAAGCCCTTATATATACAATCCTGCTATTGCGTGGCTTTTTTATTCCTTTTTGCTATCAATTATTTTTCTCCTTAATCTTCTGCTTTATTAAATGACAACAACAATAAAAAAGATCTCCCAGAACAGGAACACTGTTCCCTCACCCTGAGCAAGATACATATTGAAAATATATTTAACTCAAATACTATAACATTAGGGTGTTCTATATGACAGGATGTATGTAGAAAGCTCCATTCACCCCCATCTTCACACTATTGCTTAATGGGCTGAGTACCACACAGCAAATGTAATTTTATAGCTACTTTCTGCTCTTATTCCAACCTTACAGCCCTAAAACATCATAATGCAGCATAATACAGCCACAAATCAAATGAACCAATTATCCTAGGACAAATTCCAGTTTATAAGTATATACATGTTCACATATCATCATTCCCACTGTAATTCCACACTAAAGAACAAAGAAAACAGTAAATATTTGTATATTAGTTGTTCACTTATCTTTCAACTATCAACCTACCTCCAATGAAACTCCCTTTCATGGTGCGTCCTGTAAAAAGCAGCATAGGATCAAAGGAGAGTTGTGCACCTAAGGGAGGCACACCAACCATCACACAGATCCCACAGCCCATGTGACAAGATGCCAAAGCAGCTGTCTGATTGAAAAAAGGGAAGAAATTAAAGAAGTTTTTGCCACGCAAAGAAAAAAGGGACAATGGATGAATGCGAAAAATATCTGATGCTGGAAATGGGAAGGATAACTAAGGTGCTGATTTAGCATAAAGCAAATATATACTGACTGTTCTGCTATCTGCATATAGCCATCACTTATGCTTATGCTACCCAGTAAGAACTGAGCTACATGCTTCCCTAAACAATGTTTACCAACCATGGTCTAAAGTTACAGAAGAATCAACTGATGGCATTTCAAGGTTCTCTCATCTTTCTGGAAAGTTGATTGGTGATTTTTCAGTACTGACAGTTGTATCCCTGAAGAGCATCCATCCATTTGCTCTTGAAAAATATCAATAAAACAGATCTGGTCTTCCAAGTACCCTAACTGAACCACGTGTGGGTTCTAGCTACTGACATACAAGAGCTCAGTCTCCGATATGGAGGGGCTCCTTGGCAGTCTGTTTGGCATGGAAGAGCTGCCTGAAGGGCAGGACATTTGAAATAAAAGGGGATCCATTTTTACACAGTGTACTACAAACTCATTGTCTTCAAAATGGTGATGGCCAACAAATGAGACTGTTTAAAAGAGGTATCTATGGTGAGTTTCTGTGGTTGGCGATGGACTTGAACCTGGCTCTCCCCAGCTTGATTGAACATCTTAGCCACTACACCATACTGACTGATTCACGAGGGCTGAACTATCAATTGTTTGTTGTCTTGATGGCCATTTACTTCCTCTGAATTCTTTAAACCGTAGCTGCTGAGAAGCAGGAAGGGAAGAGGGGTATTGTCCCTATATCCTCTTTGAGACATTGTAGAAAGAGAGCTATGTTTGTCTAGGGAAAAAAAAAAATCAGATTTTAAGATTAACCAATATTTATTTTCATGACCTGCAAATTGCTTCATTAATTGCAGAGGGGCTTGACAGATGTGGGGTTAAAAAGATAGGGATTGATGTGAAATTAAAATACACCTTGATAAATAATTAGGTGCTTGAAACCTGTTTCCTGTGCCACTTTCATCTATATTACTACTCTGCCATCCCCTTCCCTTTTCCCCACTCCTCCCTCATCCCTGTGTATTTCAATCTCAAATCAATCAAGTCACTGATCAAGTGAATTGCAGCTCACAAAAGCTTAAAATAAACACTGGTTAATCTTAAAAGATACTACTAGACTCATCCCATTTGACAGTTTCCCAAATGAACCTATTAGGTTACTGGGAGACAAAGAACACTGAACTAGATGATCCTTTGGCTTGATTCTTACGAAACAACTGTTCATTATAATGATAAATATTTCAAGAAAATATTAATACAGCAAGCCTGAAGAAAATATACATTCAGTAGAATCTAGATTTAATGGATTGCCATTTCCAGACTTTGGATGCAATGGACAAAATCTGTGCCCCAACATCTCTCCAAAATATTAGATTAAGCCCATTATATCGAAGTAGTTCAGACAATTCATTTAAATTTGGATCAATTATTGTCACTTGCATATTGATGCAATTTATGTCATTTGCATAAGAATGCAGTTATGCAAATGAAATAAAATGATGCATATATACATAAATGATGTACATTCAGGCTTAGATAGCTGGCAGTAGCACATGTTCTGTCATCCTGAATGGTCTATTAAATCAAAGTGTTACTATACTGTTTTCATTGAATCTAGCATCAAATGGCAAAACAGAGCCAATACATTTTGATTAAATACAGCACATACCAATGTCTCCAAACATCCAACAACCTCAAAGGCATAATCCACACCATGTCCAGTCATTTCCAGCAGTACTTCTTGAATGGGTTTCTTGTAATCTTGAGGGTTAAGACATTCTGTAGCTCCCAGTTCTTTTGCCTTTTCAAATTTGTCTCTGTTAATGTCAATCCCAATGATACGAGATGCTCCAGCTGCTTTGCATCCCATGACCACAGAGAGACCAACTCCTCCCAAACCAAAAACAGCACAGGTGGATCCAGGTGTAACCTACAGAGTCATGGAGAAAGACAGCATAGATACGTTCAAGCTACACCCAGCAACATAACAGATTGGTGAAGCAGTTCTTAAATGGCACAGAATTTGAGAGACCATCAAGGAACTTATAGATAGGTTTTCTCACCTGGGCTGTATTGAGGGCAGCCCCATAACCAGTAGAGAATCCACAGCCAAAAAGACAGACTTTATCCAGAGGTGCAGCACTATCAATTTTAACAACTGTAGAGTCAGGCATGACTGTATATTCAGAGAAAGTGCTGATCCAAAGGAAGTGATGAACTTGCTTCCCTTTGCAGGTGAATCTACTGGTTTTGTCAGGCATCAGATTTTGTGGTTCGCAGATGCTGTTTCAGAAATGATTGGACTTGTCAATAAGAAAAAAAAAACTGTACGTGCATTGCCAAGAATCAAGAAAAATACAAAAAACGTTTCAAAAGGAACTCACTGAGTTTTCAAGCAACAGTTGGTGTTTGATTTTAAACACGAGCTGCATTCTCCACACTGGGGCAGACAAAGAGGAATCACTTTGTCTCCTTGAAATACAAAGGGAAAAACATGAAAACTCCAGACCAAAAGATAATGTTTTCTACTCACATTTTTATAAATCAAGATCACTACAAATGGACTTTTCCTAGTGCATTTATCACAGTTGAAACGACCTTCTGAATGCACTCATAAAAATTCAGACTGCAATTCATTGTGAACTGGAAAAAAAAAGGATCACTAAAAAAGATGTCCTAGAAGCAGTTCATTTCACTTGACAATAGTTTCTTTAATAAGTCACATTCTTCATTCACACTGCACCATGGCTTGGTATGTTGGATGAACCTAGCAACTATGGTATGTAAAGTATAAACAAACTTAGTTTACAATTCAGCTTTGCAAACCATGGTTTATGGCAAAACATAATCATGGTTGGTAAAAATTGATTGTACCATCCAAAGGACAAACATTTATCATTGCATAAATTTTCATAGATCAAAGGTTACTGCATCAGATGCACAGAGTACAGGTCTGAGAGAGAAAAATTCACTGGGAGGGGGAAGAGAAGAGTGAAATGGTGAAGGGAGGCTAAGGGGCACAATTGCTCTAGATGTGTCCAAATATGAAGCACCATGACAGAGAAATTCTTGCAATGAATAGCAAATTAAGTTATGTAGTATGACAAGAACTCCCTGACCTCTGGGGCAGTCTAGGAAAAATGGTACTGTAAACAACCTATAGTGCAAATCCCAGATAAACAAATCATGGCCTGTAATATCTGAGCTCAGTCCTGTACAGTGCAGACTCAGTGGAATGGCACATGGTCCAATTATGCTGGATACCCATTGCATTTTGAAGAAATTAAAATACACATGAAAAAGCCAGAGGGGACCTTCTCTATACCTGGTTTTACACATGTCACTCCTGGCCCAACACTCTCTACTATTCCAGCTCCTTCATGGCCTGGAATTACAGGATACTCTACTTTGGGGAAAGAACCTGCCAGGACATGGTCATCTGTCCCGCATATTCCTGTGGCTATTATCTATAATAGAAAACAAAGAGTTATGTACAACCATAGGGGAAGTTATGGGGGTACTTACTAGGAGTTTCCAGTGACCTATGCACAATAATCCTGTATGAATATGGGCAAGTCTACGGATTCCCAACAATCTTCACATGGAGAAAAACAACAGTGTAAGAATGTTACTACTCTGACGCGACAGACCAGAGGACGGAATGCTGCTTATCTTCACCAGTGGAATGCATGCTATTAACTCTACCCATCTACCTTGATCCTCCTCCATTAGACAGAAAAACAGTGAATAAAACTTGTTCTAAATATAATTACTGATAAGGATGCAATTATTTTGGAAACAGGGCAAAATATTTTTCAGTGATTTATGTAAGTCATGTTGTCTGTAAGCAGTTAAACCATTGTTTGCCTATTGCAACTTCTGTGCAAGGCAGAAACTGTGAATTCCAATTCATACCTCCCTGATATCAAAGCAGTGCTGATCAATGGCATTGGCAACTACATATCTATTCCCACACCAGTTTGGATTTCTGACCCAAATGGTCACATTGCAAGAGGTACACATCTAGAATTTTTCTTATGTTTGTGAAGGCCTCCTCCTTAACTGGATCAAAGTACTTAGATACACATTTTTTCAAACTACCCTGCAGAATTTCTCTTCTGTGTATTCTTTAATTTACCCTTCCTTCAAACCTCACTGGGAAATGCTGCTCTAATTTATCAACAGTACAAAACTATAAAGTCTTCTTTATGCAGTAGTTATATAAAATATAATATTTAGTATGGAATTTCATATGATATAAGGAAGACGAATATCCCATAATTTTATGCCAAATGAAGCACTGAAATATGATAATTTCAAAATGATGTCATATACTTTCTTGGCACTAGGAAGCATTGATGCCCCAGCTGCTTCAGAATTCAGGAAAATGGGATGTCACAAAGTTATGCCAAAACCAGTAGCAGCAAACTCAGAGCTGAATCTCCCCACCCCAGAGGACCGTGGAAAATTACTCAGAAAAACTGATCTACCTTAACACGAACTTCATGGTACCTTGGTGGAGCAACTTCCACCTCTTCAATAGAAAGTGGTTTGCCGACTTCCCAAGCCACAGCCGCCCTACATTTGATAACCTAGGAAAGCCAAACCAAAAATAAATACGATGTTCAGTCTAATCCTATGCAAAGCACCAAGTGGGTGAAACCAGGTAGGAGAACTTTTCCACTAGTATAACATCACAAATTGCTCTATGCCTAGAATCCTTCTCAATGTAGCAGCTCATGGCGGGTGATAGCAAAAGCCTCCTATTGCCATTCCAGTGGGACTAATCAGCTCACTTGAGGTATAGCACCAGAGGCCTCCACAGGAGGGCTCAAATGACAAACTTAATGTCCCACAATTGCAACACAAGCTCTACTTCCTTTAGGCATGCATCATGATGATGTACATGTGTACAAAAGGAGCAGAACTTGCACTGCAAGGGTGTAATGCTGCTCTAGTCATTTTAATGAAAGCCTTGGTCTTGTAGACGCTTCTGTATAGCCAACTTTTTGCAATCAATGACCCCAACTGTGCACATGTGGGGGGAGGGATTTCTTTGTCATGTAAGAACCCTGGACGTTTACTCATCATGCTATCTACATCTGAGGGTGGTGACCTCTTCCATCTCTAGAGCCTCCTCTGACTAGAGTGGCTGAAAACTGTCAGTGCTCTTCTACTTTTTGAGGCAGGCAGTACATGTAAGTGCAAGCTGTGAAACAAACTTGACATATTTTAAAAAAGAGTGTGTGTGTGTGTGTGTGTGTGAGAGAGTGATCAATCTGTCCCCCCACTCCCAACAGACTCTCTGGGGGAAGTATCAGAAATTCCTTATGCTCTGTTGTGGCTTCCTTCCTTCCCAAAATGTTAGTTGTGGCTTCCAGCCACTAAAAAATTGCCCACTTCTGATTTACCTTGAAACTTGGACCTGGACACAGTAGTAAATGAAATGTAATCTACAATTGAGCTATGACCCTAAGTCTAGTGGTGCAACAGGGCGCCTTTTCCTCTTCGGAGAATTATACATTAACAGTATTATCTTACCAAATCACTTTATTCCTAAGGTTTTTATCCCCAGCGAGTGCAATCAGTAACTTACAATACAGTCCAATACATTTTCCAGAAGTCATGTCTTCACTAGGTCATGTATTATATGTTCTTGTACTGTACTATTATATGTAATAAATAAGGGATGAATGTAGCTATGCACATACTAGGACTTAACAGAACTGCAGCTTAAATTCCTAGTTATGTGCTTCAGATGCCAATCTAGCTGCAATTGCATGAAAATGAGATTACAAGTGTAAACATTTGGTGTGGGGAGGGGGAAGCCTTCAGGTTAGTGCTGACTCCTGGCAACTGCCTGGATAAGTCCTTCCAGTGCTCTTGGCAGGATTTCAGAAGTGGTTTGCCATTGCCTGCTTCCTAGGGCTGAGAGAGAGTGACTGGCCCAAGGTCACCCAGCTGGCTTCATGCCTAAGGCACGGTCTCTAGCCTGGTGTCTTAACCCCTACACCACGCTGGCTAATAAACATATTTATCTAGAAATCAACCCAACTGAACATATTGCTTGGATTCATGGCACACAGTGAACAATGAAGAAGCCAATCACATTTTAGTCTAGCAGGTTTTGAGAATGCCGCCCATCTGGTTTCGGTGTGTTGCACTAGGGTTACCAAATGAAGCACAGTGCAATAACCACGGGTAAAAGTCTTGTAAGCAAAGCCACTAGGATCTATTTACCTACTCAGGATGTGCCAGTTTAAGGACAACTTATCCAACAAGCAAGACAAAAATTGCTCATTGGCTATGCATTGTACCAACCAGAGGCAATGCTGTCTAGGGGTGATTGGATTTGTCGTCCATTATGTATTTGAATACAAGTAAACAAATATTGGATTTCTAGCTATTATTTCAGCTATAATTCCCGCACATCCAGTTTCAACAAATCTTACTGTTGCAATTGTTTCACAGCAAGTGTGCAAGAGGGTAAGCTGTCTTAAACTCTGCATTAAGCCATGGTTTTGCTTAACGGTAGCTACCTGTTCCCATATTAGGAGGTCTGGACACAAGCGGGAAGCCATCAGCCGTGATTTACAAACCACAATGGCTGGGCTCGCACCAAAAGTTAGCCCACAAACTAGCAAACGCGATTCGCGTTTAAATTAGTTTACAGCTTTAGATTAGTTTACTTCTTCCCTTAGAAAAATAAACAGTTTCTTACTTTCCCAGAAGTATCCATGTCTGCAAACTAGCTACCGCACGAGGATCCTTCCACCCCGCTCTCGGAGAACCCTCGACTACCGCTTTGGAAAACTGGGGGGGGAAAAGCGACTATAATGCATCAAAATCACCAGTATGGCGCTACGCATTTCTCTTCCAGCATCAAGATTCCTTTAGGGCCAAAGAGCGGTCGAAGAGCAATCCGTTTCTCAATCGGAACTCTTCGCTTGCCGTAGACGCGCCGCGGAGGACTCTGGGGAATGGAGTCAAATACTTGCCTACACAATCAGGAGAAGCGCTAGTCTTTTTTTTATCAGGGCATCCACGTGCGATAAGGTACTGAAACTGTCACAAGAAATCCCTGTCAGGCAGTTTGAGTAAAGCGACTCTCTAAATGCGTTTCCAAATATATATTCACTTTTTCTTGAGCAAAGGGGGTGTGAAAGGGCATGACTTTGTTTTACCAGAATTTGGGGGAGAAGACTACACTAGTTAACAGATGTGCAGTAGGAAAGGGATTTCCCCCCCCCCCTTTTCGTTATAGGTGATTTGGAGAGAAGCAGAACCACTTTCGTCCTTAAAAGACTTTGAAAGTAGTTTTTCATGTTGGACTGGGACCAGGGAGACCATCTGGTCCACCATCAGCCACAGAAGCTCTCTGGGAGAGGTCTCTTTCTCAGCCCAATCTGTAGTTGCTGCTGGGGGAAATGGGAGGAGGGACTGTTGTGTGTGCTACTCCATGCTCCTGGAGAAAAAGCAGTGTATTAAACTAGTAGATAATAATAGTATGATGCTTTTTCCTGAGAAATGGGGGTCCATTTCACTATCTTCAGTTCTTCAGTAATGTCTAATCCAATCAGTAACTGGTTATTACTATTTGTATTACTGAATTTACACCCTGCCTTATTGTTTAAACTAATACTTGAGGTGGCTTATAACAATTTGTGTGTGTTTGTGTGTGTGTGGGGGGGGGTGCCTTCAAGTCAGTGTTGACTCCTGGCAACTGCTTAGACTAGTCCCTGCAGTTTTCTTGGCAAGATTTTCAGAAGTGGTTTGCCATTGGCTCCTACCTAGGGGTGAGAGAGAGGGATTGGCCCTCAACCAGCTGGTTTTAAGCCTAAGGTGGGACTAGAATTCATGTGCCTTGACCACTACACCAAACCAACTCTCTTTATGTAACAGCACAAAACCAAAATAAAACAATGGCATCATGTGTTACATGAGCTCAGTCCTGTACAGTGCAGACTCAATATAATGACACATTGTCCAGTTACACCAGATTCATATTACATTTTGAAGAAATTAAAATACACATGAAAAAAGCCAGAGGGGATCTTCTCTATACCTGCTTTTACTCATGTCACTCCTAGCCCAATGCTCTCTACAATTCCCACTCCTTCATGGCCTGGAATTGCAGGATTCTCCTGTGAGAAAGAATCTGCCAGAATGTGGTCATCCATCCCGCATATTGTGGCTGTGATCTATAGTAGAGAATGACCTCATCCATAGGGAAGTTTTATGGGTTATTAGGGGCTTCCAGTGACCTTTTTTTTCATAAATTGTTATTGTTGAAATAATTGAGAAGTTTTGCCTAAAAGAAACATCTACATTTTTCAAGTTTGTTTTCTATTTGGTCTTGTTTGATTGCCTAAAGAAAATTGTTCATATTCTAAAAGTAATGTTTGAATTATAACATCTGTACTATGAGTCAGTATTATAATTTTCCAGTTAATATGCCTGATTGAAGATAAATACTCAAAACAAGTAAACAACTATAACAATTTGTTGACAAAAATATTCATTTTTTTTTTATAAAGAGCAAATATTTTTATAAGAGAAGGCTTATTCCAAATTCATAGATAGTGAAGTTTGGTATTTGCTTAAAAATGCAACTGCATAAAGACTACCCCTGGTAAATCAAACTGTTTCTTTGAATGTTTACTACTAGACATTGGAGTAACTCAATTTACATGGCTTCAAAAGAAGATGGAATGAGTTCATGACAGTAGGCTTATCCATCACTGGAAGGGGATATAGTGTATTTGCATACACAGAATGTGGTAGATTCTATGTAGATTCTGGTAGGCTCTGCTGCATCTGGGGGGGGGGTGAGTGGGTTGGGGGAGGGGTCCAAACTTTTCATCCAACCCTACTGTACTTTCCCCACAGCAGTTAGGAAGAGCCACTCCATAATGTTGCCACCAATCACTTTTTCCTAGATAAATCCCTCTCTGCCATGGTTACTAAGAAGGAAATAGATGGCAATCCTCCTCTTGCCACTGAATTTGGGAAAACATGTGCTAAAGGCTTTCTCTAGAATGTTATTGATTCATTAAGAATTCAAGTCTTTATTATGATATCAAGGTTCAAAAAAGTAGAAGGAATTGAAAAGACAGAAAATGGTAAAAGAAAAAAAAAAAACCCTGATGATTTTAGCTGCTACTGCTGTAACCATGAACCTTTTTCCTCCAATACACAGAAGACCCATAACTGAGATCATGATCCATTAAATAAAAAATTAATCCTAAAATTCTAATCTGCATCTAGCTTTCACTAGTTCCTGGCTTGCTGTATAATTTCCTGTTTTCTAGCCTAGATCATTATGGGTTAGGATGTCTTCCTGAGATGGGGTTTCTCCCTATTCAGGACATCTACTATAAGCTATGGTAGTGAAGATAAATGTTCTGAAGCAGCATGACACTAGGCCAGTAGATAACACCTTCATTCCCTGTTTGTGGGTTTTCTGAAGGCACCTATATAACCATTGTTGAAACAAATAAACATGTAATCTGATCCAAGAGGTTTCTTATTTTACAATATCTTTATATAGGGATGCTTGAAATTATTAGCCTAATGGTCCCCAAATCCCTCTAATTCAATGATGGGGAACTTCTGGCCTATTCTGTTCTACTAAGCTGGCCCATCTTCAAGTGAAGTCTCTTCCACAAGGTTTTGGCTCGTACTCTATGGCACTCTTTAGTGATAAAGACACTCTTAAAGCAGCTCTCTTGAGCTCTTCACCCATCCTTGTTTCTTAAAGGGGAAGGACAAAGCTGTGAACCAGCTAATGCTGCTGGTGATCTTTCAAGTGTAAGTGAATAACCAGTCTAACTGTAAATGAATAACCAACATTGGCTCTTCTTCCAAACTTGTCTTTTCATCTTGGCATGAATTGGGTTACAAAGGTCTGGCACCATATGGGAGGCAATACAATAATGCCAATATAGTGAACATCATTTTAGTGGGCCATTGAAGTCAGGATGTGCCATTACTCATGAATGTCTGTAAAAATATGAAAAGACATCATTGTAGGAATTTATTCCATTTGTGTAATGGCATCATTAGGAAAATGACTAAATTGCTGCTGGTGTTGTAAAATTAAGGTAAACTTAATCTCATCTGAACCACTTCATATGCAAGATTTATTCATTATTTTGTGGGGCTGCCCACAAAATGAACAAATGAACATTTAGTCCATTGCATCTGAGGCCCACTATATGAGGGTCCCTTAAATCCAGGTTTCACTGTAATTATTCTAGTTGTACATTTAGGAGCAGCTTAAAACCATGCAATGCAGAAATGATTACATGCTATTATTTTATAGAAATTATTGTGCTTCCAAGCTACTTTTCTCTTTTCTGGCATAAGATCAGCCAATACGAGAACTTAAAAGATGCTCCAAAGGATATATTTTGTGGAATTGGAAGCCCTGTCTTTTGGCACCATGGACTAAGGATTAGTTGTCACAAACATTCTAAACATAATTTCTGATCCATTTGGTAATGAATTTGAGAGCTAAGAACAATATGAAAATGGTAGAGGAATAGGTTATGATGCTTTAATAGCAAGAATATGTGGTTACACTGCCCTGTTACTACTGAAGTGAATTACAGTGGCTCTATAGCTGTCATTCTGGAGCCTTGTCTGGAAGGATAGAAAAAGCAATAAATGAAGTAGGAAAAGAAGAGCTGGGCTTCCAGTTTAGAGGGTAGAGCAGGTGTGAGGAAATAAATTTCCTCTGCCAGACAAGTGGAAATGCAGCAGTTTTAAAATCCTCAAAGCCCTCATTGCCTTCAGAGTCTTTTGGTTTTGATGCTCTGTCCGTCGTCACTTTTTCAGTTCTGGTACTTCAGAGATGATCCTTATTACTCAGTTTATCTTGGGATTGGCTTTCTTCAGCAATGTTCCAATGTTTGGGTCTTCATGGTAGGCTGAGAAGACGGTGCATTTCTCAGTAGTTGCTTTTCAAAGCAAGAATTTGAACAGGTTTATGCTCTTTCCACCTGTGCCCTTACTGCTGACATTATCCAGAATTTTCACTTTTTTCTTTCCCTACTTCCTGTGGGAGTTATGCTACAGGAAACATAGGAAAGCCGCAGAAGCATAAACAGAACACATCAACCTGTTGGCCCAGAGAAAAGCTGAGTTCAATCAGACAGGCAAGGCAGAAATCTCTTTTTAATAGCTTTATTCTGCAGAGTAAAGGGCACTTGCAAATTAGCTTTCAAGGCAAGCGCAGCGCTCCATGCAAATCGTTGGGTTTTTAAACAGCTACAATCAGAAGATCATGACACCATAGGTTAACACAATTTCATCAATATACATAGTTAAAACACTCCTAAAACAGTAGGTACTAATGCCCAGAGGGTGGGCACTGGTTGTTGCTAAGGGAAATATGAGCTAGTTGGTTTCTTATCTCTCTCACTTGTTAGCAGAGCAAGGGGAGCCTGTTCCTGCTCCAGGGAGATTTCACTGTTTACTTTCGCTTTTCGCTCCTCCCAGCTTTAACTGGTAAACCTTGTCAATTTCAGAGGGAAAGCATGTGTTAACAAGGTTCACAGCCTATCTTTTCACTTTGTTCTTAGCAACTAGATAAAGTCATTTCTGGGGCCTGCATAATGTTTCTTTATTCCAACCCCCCCCCCATTCCATTAAACCTTCAACACAACACAACTTACTAGTTTTCCATTAAACAACATGCAGTAATGATTATTAATTCCAACTGCTCAACCAGACTTACGTTAGAGGTCAAAATATGCTCCTATTAGTAATGTTAATCAATATCTCAGCCCAGTGTTGTAGTATCAGTATAGAAAGTCAAGGTCACAGGTTCACTCTAAGATAACAGGTTCATCTAAGTGTAATACAGAAATATAAAAATGTCTAAAAGAAATTAAAATTAACGAAATTCATTATTTGTAACTTGCACAGTAGCCCAGGCAAAGAGAACTGGGGTGAAATTGGCAAGAGTTCCCACCAAGCTGCTGCTTGAGTTTCTTTTAAAGCAATTGCTTCTGCAAGTTTCAATGGAAACAAGAGATGTGTCAGGGGAAGTAACAATTTATGTCCTTTTTTTGAACGGAGAATGGGGTAATGTTTGTTTTCCCAGGAGTTATAAGAGTTTGGGACAGGGCGCTGGCTGAATGGCATTCTTGCCTTTTCCTACTGATCAGATGAAAGGAAAGGTCTGATTCACTCATGATTTTCTCTGCATTATTTCATCTGCAGGGGTGCAAATGATTCCACATCAGAAGCTCCATGGTAGGTAGGGGATCAAAAAAGCCAATATGGCAGATGTAATTCTGCAATTGAAGCGTCATCCTCCCCCCTCTTTTTATAAACACTGCAATGCATGCAAAAAAGGGATCAGATTTTGATTGTGGTTTTTAAAAACACCCCTGTTGTAGATCCAGCTACAAAATGATTTGGGAGAATTAGATAACATTTGCTTATACTTGAAAGGATATTCTAATCCCACAACATTATATATTACAAAAGATAATGTTGTAACAAAAGATAAATTTGTAAAAACATAAATTCCATCCTGCCACTCCAAAAAGTGAAAAAAATTAGAAGCACAGAAATGGTGATATAATAAATTTATGCTTCTAGACTGGCAGTAGTTGTTGCAGATTACTGATACTGCCTATATTATCTAGCGACTGGTATATTTATTCATTTGCTTATTTATTGCATTTAACCAAAAAGAAGATGAGTATTTTCTCCCACGTATTTATCTATAAATGGCAGGGGCAAGAGGGAAATGAGAGGAGAATGAGACAACAGAACTAGAAGTCCTGAACATACTTAAGTGGGACCTACTGATGAGACTTAAGGAAGAATAAACGTGCATGGGTTTCCTTGGGCCTGAAGCCCAACAGAAACATCTCTCTGAACTTATTTCATATTTGCAAACAGAATGAAAAATACAGCGTATTACCCCAATAATCTCTCCTTTAGTTTTTACCCTAGTTTAGGTCCAATAAGATGAGTTACAACTTCAGCTCCAACCAAACAGCGGCCTAGATCTATTTCACTAGCAATAAGAGCCACTGAACCTGTGGATTGCTACAGAGTTAGAGATTATCCTTGCTGGCTTTGCATTTTTCTATTTGTCTATGTCAGTGTTTCCCAATCTTAACCACTTGAAGATGTGTGGACTTCAACTCCCAGAATTCCCCAGTCAGCCATCTTCAAGTGGCCAAGGTGGAGAAACACTGGTCTGTGTTGTGAAAATAATTTGTGAGAGAAAAGCTTATGAGCGCATATGCACACAATTAATTTTGTAAATCACCTCTTATTTTAGAGGCAAGTAATTTTAATCAATAGTTATTAATTGAATTGATCTTAATTTTTCTTCCTGGCCCACCCCTTTTTTCAGAATGCAGTCTCTGACTGGTGTACATATACACAGGCAGGATGAACATATATATACAAGTAAGTAACTTGTACTTATTTGTCAGACGAACAAAAATCTCAAGGATTTGGTTCAGAGAGAGATAGCTGACAAAATACTGAAAGATACCAAACGCAGGAATGTTGAACGTGTTTATAACTTTATTTTGCCTAATCAGAATGGTGAGAAAAGAGGTAGAAAGAAAAGGAATAAATTCTGTTTTCTGTTGATTGACTTATTGAAGTATATATCCTGCATAATGTATTGATCCTGTAGAATTCAGAAGACAAAGATGATGGTTTTCTATTTTTCTTCAGAACCAGAGACTTTAAAATAACAGGACGCAGCGGATACTGAAACATCAGAAAACAGTTTATATTTAAATGTGGTGAATTCTTTTCTTAGCAAACTTAAGAAGTTGTATTCAGACTTTAAGTAAGCCCAATGATAATAATCTATTAATGACTATTTTTATCAATAAATTAATATTGTAAGAATTTTACAAGGCAGATTGAAGGGAGGGAAAAACAACAAGTGGAAATGGACTAATTCTGCCAAAATTAAACCTTTATAATATGCCATTATTTCAGTGGAAGAATTAACAACATATGTAAATCTGTATTCTCTTTTTTGGATGAGGCACTCCACCCCACTTTTCTTTGCAAAACATAAAAGACAACCCTAAAAACAGCTACAGCCTCCCAGTACAAAGTGTAAGGAACAAATAACTTGGGGGTGCAAATGGTCACATAAATATGCAGAAGCATCAGTCTTTTCTATGATATTTTTTAAGATAAGTATCAGCATTGATTTCAGTTTATTACTACCTTATTGCTGCCTTTGTTCATTAGTGATCAACAGAAATACACACTATTCATTGATCTGCAATCTTTAGCCAAAGTTCTCAGAATAGTTTATATATTAAAATATACAAATACAATTAAAAAT